ATTGTTCCTTGCTGACCGGACTTCTCCTTTAATACAAAAATAAATCTTTATATTTATAGAACTATATCATGTCTTCTAACTCTTAGATTGCAGGTAGATGCAAACATTGTGACGTCATCAATTCATCTGGCTATTCAGAGCTGTTTGGATGAAGCTGCATTATGACAGGAAGTAAACTTCCTTAAATACAAAATAAACTTTAGGAAAAAAAGCTTTTAAAACATTTAGTTCCACTTTCATCCTCTCCAGCCTGGTCAGGAGACGACCTCTGGTTACCATGGTGACAGACCCCTCCAGGTAACTACAGTTTTATATGATGGTGCGTTCAAGGACCCGTCAATCCCGCGCGCGGCTCCGCTAACATCGGCCTACCTGGTGGAACACCCGCGGCCTGCGGAGCTCCCCAGCCGGCTCCGGGTTCTCTCTGCTCGGACTCCTCGTACAGCGGTGTCCGCTCCCCGGGGTGCAGGTTCCGGCTCCCCGGGATGTCCGGCGGGGTGGTGACCCACTGGTGATGCTGCAGGTCCCCAGCGGACCCGGGCCCCCGGGGCGGGTAGCCCGCTCCGTACGGGTCGTCGCGGCCGCGGAACCCGAACCCGTCGAAGCTGTCTGGCCTTCTGGAGGCCATGGGGAGGAGAGGACCGAGAGAGCGCCGCGGATCAGTGAGCGGAGGCGGGCATGGAGCAGAGCCAGCAGCTGGTGGGGAATCAGGAACCGGAATGACAGAGAAGCTCAAGGACCCGCTGGACCGAACCGACCTGACCCGCTGCAAAACAGACAGCTGGACCCGGAAACACACTGTCAGTGCACTTCCGGTAGCTGGTGGACGCAGTGCTGCCCCCTGCTGTCAGGCAGAGATAAACTGTTCTGCTGGGTTTGGTCTCAGCGGGTTAACAGCTGCTGTTCAGAGGAGTTTTCATGCTTTTACTCCAGTATAAAACATGATGTTTAAAAACACCTTTTTAGAAGTTAAAGTATCAACTTCAGCTTTTTACTCCAGTAAATACGGAAGGGCCACTGGAAAAAAAAAAAAAAAGTTAACCGATTTTAACATTTTATTTCAATTAAGAATTGGAAAAAAGTCAGAATTCTGACTTTAATCTCTGAATTCTGACTTTTTTTCTCAGAATTCTGACTTTAATCTCTGAATTCTGACTTTTTTTCCTCAGAATTCTGACATTAATCTCAGAATTTTGGATCTTAATGTAGATGGGCACCATGAAGGAAGAGATGTGGAGCACTNAACTGTTCTGCTGGGTTTGGTCTCAGCAGGTTAACAGCTGCTGTTCACAGGAGTTTTCATGTTTTTACTCCAGTATAAAACATGATGTTTAAAAAACACCTTTTTAGAAGTTAAAGTATCAGCTTTTTACGGAAGAGGAATAGGGCCACTGGAAAAAAAAAAAAGTTTACTGATTTTAACATTTTATTTCAATTTAGTATTGGAAAAAAGTCAGAATTCTGACTTTAATCTCTGAATTCTGACTTTTTTTCTCAGAATTCTGACTTTTTTCCAACTTTAATCTCAGAATTCTGATTTTTTTCTCAGAATTCTGACTTTAATCTCAGAGTTTTTGATTTTAATGTAGATGGGCACCATGAAGGCAGAGATGTGGAGCACTCAGCTTCACTGACAATGATGTGAGTTGTTTGAGGTGGCCAGTGACACATTGGTGGAAAATGACAGAATTAGGCAACTTTTTACGTGCCCGAGGGGTCCCCTCATTAATGGAGGAGCAGAAGGTCATTAAAACAAGAGAGCTAGTCTCTAAAACAGACATGGCTATGGCTTGATGCTAACATGTTTGTTAGCTGTCAGAATTCTGAGATTAAAGTCAGAATTCTGACTTTTTTCCCAAACTAAACTGAAATGAAATTAAAAAATCAGTTAACTTATTTTTTTTCAGTGGCCCTAATCCTCTTCCGTGTGTAAAAGTGTAAAAGTTCAATTTTTAAAACTACTTAAAGTATAAAAGTAATGCTGGAAAAAATGTTAAGGACAGAAGCTTTAAACCTTATACTGGTTTTGTACCCTATTAAAGAAACATTCTGGGTGATAACTTCCTTAGACTTCATTTTCTTAAGTTTATAACTAATGAAAACAGTAACATTTAACTTTGCATCATCTTGAAAAACTATTTATTTTGGTATGTGGTGAACAACAAGTTGGGGCAGCACCGAGTCCAACCACAAAAATGGTTTTATTTTTTTTTTAAATGCCAACAGGCCATAATGAAAACAAGCTTAAATGAAACAAAACTAATGTGTCTATTTTTAAAATATAAGGAGAAAAAGAATAAAAAGTTGTCTAAAAAAAAATCATTAATCCAGTAAAGTATTGGTAGCCAAAATTTCTACTCAAGTAAAGTAACAGTATTTGTACTTTACTTCTGCTTTGAGCTCATGAAAAAAAACAAAAAACAATTATTTGTTTTTATCAAACCATCATTTATCTCTGAATTTGTTCCGTTTATAAAATGTTCCTCAGTGGATCAGCTGATGCTACCATGAAGAGCCTAATTACCTCGAAATCCCGCTGCACTCCGGACCTCCTGCTCAAAGCAAAGCCTGCAGCCTCCGCTGTTCCTCCTGTCTTGATCCGCTCCGATTTCCCCAGAGGTCAAGGAGAGCATGCGCCATATTATTCAATTCAAAGCAGCAAAACATGCAGAAATTAACCAGGGTTTCCGCGGGTCATTAAAATTCATTAAAAGCCATTACATTTTTTATTTTTTTTAAAATTAAGTCCTTAATTGGCACTAAAATTCATTAAATGTGATATCTTGGCATTTGAAATGCTTTATTAAAATTTTTTTTTATAAAAACTATTTCGTCAGATATATCGTGATTAATTTGAACGGAACTGCTTCCGGTTGATCATAAAGCCGTAAGTTTGGAAAAGAAGCTTTAGCCGGAGAAAAAGCTGAAGAATGGGGAAAATGCTAATTTCAACTAAAGTGGCGGGAAAACAAGGAATTCGGAACATGGCTGCAGCCTTTCCACGGTAAAGATGCTGGAATTTGCTGTGTTACATTAATATCTATATATTTATACATACAAGAGTCATGGAACAGCTCCTTCATATTTCATGTACACTAATAACTTGTGTACATGGTACTTGTTGATGGCATTAAATTAGAGTGACTCATTTCTGAATGAACCCTGTGAACGCTTAATTTAATATGACATATTAAAAAAATCCCCATCATCATCCAGCAGATGTTCGGTTTCTGCCCAAATATTTTCTTTCTGTTGTGGATTTTTCTAACAGGGTTTAACTAGGATAATACATGTTTTGGAAGAACTGTTTTTTTCTCTGCTTCTAAACTCAGCATCTCTTCATCCATATACAAGATAAGAAGTTTGTTTTGAAGTTGTGAGAGTCACTCTTAGAAGTTTTGACTGGATTTGATTAAACCTTTAAGCCTCTCAGGATAAAACACAAATTTTGATCATAATGAGAAATCTGCTTCCTGGTCTGATGAAGCACCAATGGTTTGCTTCCAATCATTTAATTAACGATCTTAGTTTTTAAGAACATATAAGAATTATGCTCTAATATCTAGATACCGATCTGTTGTTACTATATTTTCATTTGACAAACCGGATCTCCTCGTCGTTCTTTTTCCTGTTTGGTGCGATTGCAATAGTACTGGTTCAGTCGCTTTAAGTTGCGACTCCCATGAGCTGACCAGATCATTTAAAGATCCTGTTCAGTCAGATCCTTTGTTTTAGGGGCAAATAAGGCTGCTGACCTGCTAATCACCTGGATCTACTTCCTGGTCAGGAAGGTCCTGCATAAGAACAGGATGGATCTTTGAAATATCCATTAACAGATTTTTTTCCCCTTATGTTGGCTTTTCAAATTAATTTGCTCTGCTGTCCTACTGCGGGTCAAACCATCCACCAACTGTGAGCAGATTCTGTTCTTTGACTGTTTTTCAACTGCAAATCTGCTATCTATGGTTTTTTAATCTGTTTTTATAATTCAATGTTTTTAAACCTGATTAAAGCTGTTGGTTTTACTGAGCAATGTTGAAACAGGGAGACAGATTCTGCTTTCACATAAACTTTATTCATATGATTCCAGCATCAGATACATTTAAATTAATTTCAGACATCAGAGTAAAAGTTTTCCTTCACAACTTTTAACGTCAAACTGAGACAACACCACTGTATCCTCACTGTATCCTCGACAGCTGATATGGGTGGCACTGAACCTGCTGACATCCAAACACGAATAGGTGAAGTTCTGATTCAAAAAGCTCCGATCAGTAAAAACAAATCGATAACAAAGATTTGAATGATTATAAAGAGCTGCTTGTTTATGACAGATAGAAAAGACCTCACATTCATCTACACAGTTTATTAGCAACAGGTCGTCTCAGTTTTAGTGTTTTTAAGCTGGAGTTCCTCCATCGTTGGGGGCTTGTCCGGGATCCACATTTTCCTTCATTCAGTGAAAAAACGGACAGCCGGAGGCTCCCTGAACAGAACTAAGGCCTTATTGTAACTGAAGAACATGATTTTGGTCAGAATAATGAAGAAACCACAAATGTAATCCATCCCTGCAATCTCATTGGTCCACATATTAACTCCACCGATCCCAGTGTCAGCAGATCAAAAATAATTAAAACCCAACAACTCTTAACAGTTGGTGGCTAAAGCTACAACACTGAGGCTTTTTCCGTATGATGACGAAAGGCAGCATGGGCGTTGTCACAGTAAGGCAGTGGGCGGCGGCTTTAAGGCCGATGGCGGCGTCAGACAAGCTAACGATCAGAACTGTTCACCCCGACTGCCGGACTTTACCGCAACAGAAAAACTATTAGAATAAATGATTTCTGTGATCATTTTCTTTATATACATATATCATGTAAAAAAATTTACTGGATTTTTTTTCCCTCTCGGAACAAACAAAAGAAAGTTTATTGTGAAAAATGTAAACAGGAAATAAAATTAGAGTAAAATGCTTCAATATGTTTTCCTGTTATAAAATCGGTTTACTGAGTGAAGCTAATCTATAGGTCCCTCATTCGCTCTCCGAGGACCAAAGTATTGATCATGTCCTGTTTGGTGATTACTGGCTCCACTAATAAGCTACTGACTAAGAGCCATTTTTGAGAAACGCTCTTATGGCACTAAAAAAACAACAAAAAAAGAAGGAATCCTGAGGTGATCTAGGCTCTGATTGGCTGGCCTTTATCACCTGCGTGACATTAAATTTAAGAAGGAAAACCCCAACAACGAGGGCTCTCCATCCTCCAGGATTAGTCGCTAACCTACAGTATGACGAGATGTTACCATGGTGACCGGTACAGAGGTAACCTTGAAGCTAAGTGTGGCGGTTTGTTAGTGACAGTGCTCCGTAATGTCCACCACCACTGCCTTCTGCCAGCTGAACAGGAAGTAGCCCATGCCGGCGCCGACTGCCACGGCGATGCACAGGTACGCGTTGTAGGTCATGAAGACAAGCATCAGGACATAGCTGACCACCACCTGGATGATGTGTAGGAAAGTCTGCAGGAAGTGGGCGGGGCTTAGCATCCTTTGCCTGAGGACGAAAGAAAGGCCGTCAGTTTGTGCTAAAACTTTTATTCATGAGGAAGTGAAACTTTAAAACCTTCCAGAGAGCCATCAGCTTAGTTCGAGCCTGACATAAACCGACCACACGTTAAGCCCCACCTTCTAACACCCTGTCAGGACTAAACCCGTCTAAACTGTTCCCTGTTAGTTAATAATAACCATCGCCAGAACTCCTGAGGAAATATCCAGAGAGAAAGCAGCAGCTGCAGGAAGAAAGGTAAAGTTAGCAATGCTAAGAGCAGGGCGCCCCCTACAGGCCCAAACAGAAGCCCTCCACCTCGAACCCGTCTGCGCTCATTGGGGCATCCCAGACCCAAACCCGCCTAAGTTACCTGCAAAGCGATCCAAAGAAGACGGACTCTGCCCCTTCTGGACAGTTGCTGACAGGAAACATCACAAGGTCACATCATAACAAACTCCGCCTCCAAGCTAAGCGCGTCGCGGCTGGCGCTACTTCATCTGCATACATGTGCATGGAGACCTACCCGACTGTCTTGTGCGTTTCCATCAGCATCGTCCCGTCGGCGCCAGGTAGCGGCATGGAGTTGTAGCGCACGTTAACCTGACTGCGACGCAGGAGGATCTCCCGACCGATCTTCAGCCCCTCGTAGAGAATAGCCAATAGGAACACACCTATACAGGCGCCAACCATCTCTGATTGGATGGCAGGGTAACAGATGGTTAACAGGCAGGTCAGGGGACGTGTTACTTAAGGCGTGCCGTCCTGCGGCGCCTACCTCCGGGTGTGTTGATGACCAGCCCGGTGAACAGCAGCTCCACATTTTTGTAGCCGAAGTAGAAGGTCATCGCCTGGGCAACCAAAAGGAAAATGTTATGACATCATGTCCGATGTTGGGTCAAACGGAGACGAATGCTTCGCTCACCATCATGTGTCCCGTATGTCCTCCGTTGTCCCCTCCTCCGTGGTCGTGTCCGGTGGTGGTTGCCATGGTGGGATGAACGTGCTCCATGGTGCTGTGGTTCATGTGGTTCATGTGGTTCATGTGGCCAGAGTGGTCCATGGCTGCTAGAGAGAAAAAAAACAGAGTCAGAGGGAGGCGGGAAAAGCTATTAGATGTGGCGCCGCCAGCTGACGGAGTTGGGGTACTGCGCTCCTCACACAGAGTTCTGTCAGAGCGAGAAGTTCCAGATCTAAAGCTCAAGTTAAATCATCGTCATGGCGACTGGGCTGCTGCACCGAACAGATCCGACAAACTCCCCGTCCTCGCACCAGAACCGCCCACCGAACCGGACGCTCGCTCTCTGACGCTCGCTCGTCCACAGACTGCCAGAGACTGACATCACAACGCCCAATAAGCTCAACCGGGAGCCGTAACCGTAGTAACGGCCTGACATCACAGGGCAGAGCCCCTGCTCTAATCCGATTGGCCGCCAAGCCCCGAGGCTACAGCAGACAGAAGCGACCAATCAGAGTTCTACAAATCAGATCCTAACGTCGTTAACATTAACAGGAAGGTCAGGGGTTGCCGTCGGCAACACTTACTGCCCGCTTCCTGTCTGAAGCAGAGTCTCTGTTTATGTCTGACACAGACCAGGCCCGGCCCAGAACCCAGAAGTCACGTCAGTTACCCTTAAAGGCTTCAGGAACATTTTAAATCCTAAAAAATTAAATAAATATGATTCAGAAAAAGGAGATATGAGCAATAATCTGTTATTTTGGTAAAGAGAAATAAGAAACAGTAATGTGAGGAACTAAAGGGATGTTTTCAGATGGAACATGGTGTAACGTCACACACTGTCCCTCTGGGTTGTTCTCCAGTCTTGTGTTAAAAAGCCAGGCTGGTGTTCAGTCAGACCAGCCCACCTACAGTCAATACGCTTGGCAAGACGTCAGGTTAGTGTTTATCCCTTTAGTTTCTTATGAAAAATAGACTTTAAAATACCCGAACGGGCCTGTATCCCTTTAGACATGTAAAAAAAAAAAAACAATTTAATGTCAGATCACCATACGCTTCAAAAAACACCAAAAAGTAAGTAATTCAATTGTTTTTTGTAGTGTTTTTGTGAGTTCCTCCTCATGTTGATTCAGTTTTCTTTTACATAGTAAACACTAAGTGTCTGTTTCCAGCCGCTTCAGCTGTTATCATCCCAATAAATTACCGTTATTAGCGGCTATCAGTCCCATAGAATGGCTTCACATTATGCCAGTGGGTTGTTTTCATCGAGTGAATCCTAATCTTAAAGTAATTCCTTTCTCCCTGCGAAAATAAACTATTTATGTGTAATCTGAACATAATTGCTGTTTGTTTGTTTATTTATTTGAGCAATTTGAGTAAAATAAAATAAAAACTAAACAGGCATAGTTTGCACCCTATTCTCTGTGAAAACATGCCGATCATTCTTTAATAAGATCCTCATCAAACGGACACGCAATGATTGTTTTAAACACCTAATGTGTCTAACGGACCTAATGAATTATATTTTTACTATTTGCTCAAAACTATGACAAAAATCGGACTCAGTCAGGAAATAAATCAACTTGATTGGCTGTAATGAGAGCGGAGACAGAGGAAACTCTGAGTTTAGCGACCAGGTTAGCTCTGAGGGGATTAATGCTACGATGACTGAAACAGAGGATCAGGAAACTCTGTGAAACGGAAATGTCAATAGTTTACCTTATTTTAGGTTTAGAAATCTTAAAAGAGTTTTCAGAAAACCCACTTCTTGAATCTGACCCCTGCTCTTATGGAGAGAATTTTGTTCAATTATTCTTGCAAAGAATAGGCTTTATAAATGGAAATTTTAATAATAATAATTTGTATAAAACTTTTGAAAAACCTTAACAGGGATTAGCAACCTTAATGATGTAGGATAATAGTGAGGCATCGAAAATCAGCTAACATCTGCTGTTTTAAGAGCTGGTGAGTAAAATGGCCTTATGTCAGAGGGTAAAGCAAGATTAAATATTTGACTGTGCCTTTTACCGGCCTACGGAAGAGGATTAGGGCCACTGGAAAAAATAAAAAAAGTTAACTGATTTTTATTTTATTTTATTTCAGTTTAATATGGTAAAAAAGTCAGAATTCTGACTTT